GTGAGGAGGGGTAGGAAGGGAGGAGGGGAGAGAATGTGGAACTCAAAGTTTTAAGGACAAATGTTGAAGATTGTCTTTACATGTAGCTGGGGAAAAATAAAATACTAAATATAAAAAGTTGTTTTCTTTATATTAATAACAATAATCAGTATTTATATAGTGCTTTAAGATTTACAAAATGATGCTCACAACAACCTTGGGAAGTAGATGCTACCATATGCATTTCACAAATGAAGAAACTGAGTCAACAAAGGTTAGGTACCTTTCCCCGGGTCACACAGGTAGTAAGCATCAAAAGGGGCATTTGAACTCAGGACTTCCTAACTCCAAGACTAGCAGTCTATCCACTGTCCCTCCTAGCCACCTTATATTGTAATCACTGTATAAATAGTTGTCTTGATTCTGTTCAAATTATTCCCTGTCATTTCATACAGGTCTTCCCAGGTTTCTCTAAATTGCTGCCTTTTTTCATTGCTTATGGCACAATATTATTTGATTATATTTATAATTTGTTCAGCCATTTCCTAATTTATTTCATTTTTGTTTCCTGTTAAGCCCTTCCCACCTCCCTTGGCTATTACCCTACAGGGCAACACCATCATTGTAATACCTCAGGCTCAAAACTGAGGTGTTATCCTCAATACCCAAGGACTGTCATTTCCCAATTAAAGTGGATCCCCTTAGTCTCTAGTTCTTTGTTCCCACAAAAGTGTCATAAATATTCTTTTGGTAAATTTAGGTCTTTGCTACCACAACAATGCCATAAAATTTTTTTGTACATATAGGTCCCCTCCCTCTTTCCTCAATCTTTTTTGGGGGAAGCAGATTATATACTGGTCTATGGTATTCCTGAGCCAAAGGGTACACACAGTTTAATGAATTTTTGCATATGGTTTTAACATTGCTTTCAAGAATGGTTTGACTACATTAAAGTTCCTTCCAATAGTGTGTTTCCATAGCCTCTCCAACAATTATAATTTCCTTTTTGGTTATCTTTGTCAATCATATGTCTATGAGGTAGAACTGCAGAGTCATTTTAATTTTCATTTCTCTGCAAATCAAATCTGAGGTTTAGTTTACCTCATACCCATCAAATTGGCAAAGATGACAAAAGATAGAAAGAGTCAGTGTTAGAAGGATTATAAAAAGACAGGTACACTAATGCATTCTTGGTGGAATTGTGAACTAGTATATTCATTCTGGAAAGCAATTTGAAATCATACCAATAAAGTGGTTAAAATGTTCATGTCATGATCCAGAGATTCCATTGCTGAATACTGCCCAAAGGAAGTTGTTGGAGAAAAGAAAGGCTCCATATACACCAGAATACTTATTAGCAACTCTTTTTGTGGTAGCAAAGAACAGGAAACAAAATAGATGCTCATCAGCTGGAGGATGGCTAAATAAATTAAGGCACATGAATATAATGGAATATTACTCTGTTGTAAGAAACAACATAAGCATATGACGAGTACAGAGAAGCATGGAAAGACTTACATGATTCAAAGTGATGTAAGAGGAGACAAAAAATACAAGACCATAACAATGTAAATGGAAAAAACAACCACTACAAAACAATAAAAAATAAGTTTTGCTGAATTTCAAAGACCACTCATGACTTTGACAAAAAGTTATGAGAAGACATCTTCTGTCCCCTTTGCAGGGGAACTCCATGAGTGTGGACCATTGTATATATTTTCAGATTTTTTCTAACATAAAAAAATAAAATAAAGTGCATGGGTGATGAAGTATGAACATTTAGCATTTCTCTAGTTGTTAGTGATTTGGACCATTTTTTCCCTAATAGTTGTTGACAGCTTGTGTTGGTTATTTCAAGAACTGCCTAGATCCTTTTACCCTTTATCCAATGGGGAATGGCTGTTGCTCTTATATATTTGCATCAATTTCCTCCCCTTCCTTTCTATTCCCACTGCTACTGTATTACCTCTGTTACCAATCACCAGGAATACCACATTTCCCTTATTCTTAAAATATACTATAAAAGAATCATGTGAAGAAAGTGACAAAAATGCCTGTATCTTTTGACCCCCTACTGGGCATATACCTCAAGGAGATTAATTATAAAAAGAAAAGCTCCATAAACAACAAAATATTTACAATGGCACTTTTTGTCACAGCAAAGAATGGAAATAAAGAAGATGGCCATCAATTGGGGAATGGCTAAACAGGTTATGATACATAAATGTAATGAAAGAGTACTGTGGTGTAAGACATAATCAAGAAGACAAGAACAGACACATGAGAAACCTTATAGGAACTGATACAAAATGAATGAGGTATGCAGAACCTGGAAAACAATATACTCCATGATAATAACAATATAAATGGAAAGCGTAACAACAACAAAAACCCCACCAAAATGGAATACTGTAGAATTATATTGACCAAGTTTGTACCCAGGAAGAGATATGAGAAATTATCTTCCTCACTTCTTTAAAGAGATAGGGAATTATGAGTATGGAATACTATATATAATGTCAAACTTTTTCTATGCCTTGTTTAGTTTTGCTGAACTATGAGTTTCCCCCCCCTCTTATTTTACTGTTTGTTATAAGTGATGGTTCTCTAGAGGAAGAGTAGAGAGAGTTATGTTGGGAAAGGAAAGTATTTTGAAAACAAAAGATATGAATAAAATAGGTTAAAAAATATTTGAAGCATCTGTAATTTTATCGAGGTAGGGAGCTCTTTTAGGTGTGAAACTCCTTCAATCTATGTAGATAGCAACCCATCTGTGATGTAGTAGAGAATTAGGTCCTAGGGAGCTGCCTAAGAGTGACTTACTTGGAAGGTATGCATTTAGTTTTCAGAGGCAGGACTTGAACCCAATAATTCTTCCTGATTGCAATCCTGGGAGTCTATTCACAGTGCCCTGCTGCTTCACAAAACTATGGGATTAAACATGTCCAATATGTGTCCCGTGAACTCAAATTTCTTCATAATGAAATACCATTGTTACAGACTTAAGTCTTTAAAGAACAAAAAACTTACCCCCAAATAGAGGGATTTAAAAAGTTCAATGAAATAAAAAAGAAAGAAAGAAAGAAAGAAAAGAAAAAGAAAACTTGGGCTAAAACATAGCATTGAATGAATTCAAAATTACCTATGAGTCTTGTAATGAGTTCATGGGCTAGGTAAAAAATTTGAACATGTGTCCGGAAGGGGTTGTGTTCTAGAAATTCCATGAACTTTTATGGGTCTCTATCCCACAAAACTGGATTAAGAGACTTGTAATATGACAGGGTTAGCCTAGGACAAAGATAGAGAGGCAAGATAAATGAGGGTTAACAATGCTATTCTACCGGTAATGTCTTCATTATTAGAGTTGAGATATAGTCAGGTGTGAATGACACCTGGGTGGCCTTCAAACACATCAAAGTCAACATGTCCAAAATGAAACTTATTTTCTCCTCCCTTGTCTTTCTCTCCCCCACTCCCCAAACAGAACAAAACAAACAAAACCAGACCCAAACTCCTTGCCTTTTCCCAAGCTGTTTGCTATGCTTTGAATGGATTTTTGGATATCCTCTCTTGTCCACCACATGATTCTTTCCCTTGAAGGTTCAACCTCCTTTTATGCCATTTTGACATCTGCTAAACACTTTATCATAGTTTAATTTGTATTGTAAATTGCTTGAAGGTTGGGCCTCCATTATTTTTCGTCTTTGGACACTGAGTGCCTAATACTGTGCCTTTCATTGAATAAATGTTTGTTGAATTGGAAACAACTAATGGCAGAATGTTCCATTCAGTAAGGCTGCAATTAATTTTACAGAGGGAAAAAAAATCCTGCCCAGATTCAACAAAACACTGAAAATAGTGCAGGTTCCTGATCCTGAGCTGCTTTTATAATTTAACTCTTTCAATCTATATTATCTCTAAGTATATGACTGAGGAAACACAGGCTTGTGTTAGTTTTCAGTAATCATTTACTGTTATCAGTGACTATTTGCAAAAGGGCTTAAAGTATTGCAAAAGGGCTAAAAGTTCAATACCTCTGGACATTTTACTCAGAATGATTTTTTTATAAGTTCTCTAAAAGGACAAGCAGTAACTCAGTGATTGGCTTTACATAATGAAAACCACAAAGAAAAATGATAAAGAAATAAAGAGTGTAGATAGGTGGGTTTGGATTTTATACTAACAGTATTCCTAAGGGTTTTTATGGTCTTTTTCAGTTGTCTGTCAAAACTGGCATTATCCAACATTTAGTGTTTCTGATTGTAATAGAACTTGGGTTGGATAACCTAAGAGCTATCTCACACTTACTATGGTAATGTATGGCTTGACCATATCTGAACCACTGAATTTGAGGTGGAAGTAGAAAAATGTTAAGGACTGGGGAAAAAAAAGGAAATAATCAGCACTGGTTGAAGCTGAAAAGATTTTTGTAGGAAGAATTTAAAATGACTTGAGAAGTAACACGAAACCAAAAGGACACTCAGAATCCTAAATCTCCAACTCAGAGATGCCTTCACCCTAAAACTATAGGTTGGTGTAAATTCCCAGGAACCACCCCCACCCCATAAATGGAAGTGATTAGGTAGACATTCAAGTGACTGCAATAGGTACATGTTTACCAATACATGAGCTCTCTCTCTCTTTTGTACCCTTTGGCAGTATTCAGGACCAAAGTGACCCTCACCTTCCCTCTTGGCAAGAGCAGCTTCAGCTTTAGCTATACCCACTTATGGGGATGGAGAGAGATCTATGACCTACACCCCCTCAGCAGCTCTCTCCGTGTTTCTCTCACGTCGGCGATTGGCTAAGACCATCGCCAATCAGAGCGGGGCAGGCCAGCAAGTAGGCTTTGGTTGGCAGAGGGGGCGTCACTGTCCCCTTCACCCCCCACTTTCCCCGCCTCCTCCTCCCGGGCCGGAGCCCCCTCCTCACGGGGAGGGCCAGGAGGGGGCGTGGCTGTGGCTGTGGCCAGGCCGGTGGCGGTGTTGGTGGCTGGCGCTGCTGCTGCTGTTGCTGTGTGCGGTGTGGATGCGGCGGGCTCCCGGCGGCCGCGGGCTTGGCGGTTGCGATCAGAGGGGATGAAGAAGCCGTGGCGGAGCCGGTGAGTGCGGGCTGGAGTCCTTGGTCATTCTTGTCTCCCCTAACCTTCCTTCCCGAGCTTTGCGGCTCCTCCGGGATGGGGATGGGGGGGCTGGAGCGGGAGCTGGAGCTTGGGCCCTCGGACCCTGGCGCCTTCTTCCTCCTCTTGCTTCCTTCCTCCTCCTCCTCGCGGCCGACTTACTGCGGTCGGCCATGCTCCGGGGCCCGGGCTGGCTGGCAAGCCTAGCTCGGGCCTCGGCGCCGACCGTCTGTCCGCAGCCCCCTGAGGGACCTTGGTGCTCCCCTTGGTGCCCGAAGCTGCAGCGGCCGCATCCTCTGCCCTGTCCCTCCCAGGGCGCCTCCGGATGCCCTGCACGGGCCAGGGCCCCGGGCTGCCCGCTCCTCTGACCGCCTGCCTGGAGGGGAGCCCTCACCCCCTGCCTGCAGCCCAGCTCCGCTCTCCTCCTTCTTGACCGGTCCTGTCCTCTCGTCGTCCCCTTGCAGCCAGGCTCCTGCTCCCTTCCCCTGGACCCACTCCTCTCTAACCCCTGCTCCAAGCTCCTGATCTCTTCTCGGCCCACTCTTCTCCTCCAGCCTCCCCTCCCCCCTCGACCCCTGCCTCCAGGCTCCTGCTCTCTTCCCCCGGACCTACTCTTCTCCATCCCTTGTCTGGTGGGCTCCTTCTCTTACACTGGACCTGCTCCTCTGCTCCAAGCACCCCTCCTCCTTCCTTCCTTCCCCCGCCCCCGCCACTTCCCCCTCCTCAACCTGCAGCCAGACTCCTACTCTTTTGCCTGGGACACAGTCCTTTCCATCCCCTGCCCCTAGGCTTCTACTGTCTTCCTAGACCCATTCCTCCTCTCCAATTTCCCCTCAACTTCCCTTTCACTTTAACCCTTGCTCCCACGTTCCTGCTCTGTTTCCCTGGACCCACTCTATTCCTTGTCTCAGGTTCCTTCTCTTTACATTGGACCCACTCTTCTCCTCTAAGAGGAGCCCGCAGCCGGGCTTCTGAATTCTTCCACTGGACCCATTCCTCTACTCTCCCCACATCCTCTGCAGCCAGACTCTTACTCTTCCGCTGGGACCCGCTCCTTTCCATCTAATGCCTCCAGGCTTCTGGCCCTTAACACTGTACCTACTCTTCTCTCACCACCTTTCCTGCAGCCAGGCTCCTCCTGCTCCCTTCCAATGGGACCCGCTCCTCTGTCTACATTTCTTGTCTCTGAAAGGCTGATCCACCTCGACCCCGTCCTCTCCTTCCCATCCTTCGCATCTTCCCAGCAGCTAGGCGCCTACTGTCTTCCACTTGGACCTGTTTTTACCCCGTGCTCTTTCCAAGCTTTTTTTCCCTCCCAGTTTCCCTGCCCCGGTACTTGGCCAGTTCTCGTTCTGCATTTTCTCCCACCTTCAGAGCGGTTCCAGGGCATCCCCGCCCCCCAACCTCCCCACTTTCCCTTCCCTTCTATTCTTACTGTCTGGCTTTCCCCACACCTCCCTCCAGGTGTTTGATCTCCATCCCCCTGACCGCCCGCCATTGCTTCCCTCCTCTTAGTTTTGCTCCGTAAATTCCTGCCTCCTCCTCCATCTCCCCCATCGTCTGCTATGGGGTGTCTCATCATCTCCCAGATCTTTGCTCCCCACCTATCTCCTTGCTCCCTGTCCCTTTCTTGCCCTCTTCAGGTCGCTGCCCTCTGTCCTGGCTCCTCTGCTCGGTTCATGAGCCTGGACACTTTGCTCCAGCCCACCCTCCTGTGCCTGCTGCTGGCTCAATCCCCCCCCCCCATCCTGTACCCGCTCGCCTGTGGGCCCCCCCCACCCCCATCCCCCAACCTCTGAGAGAGCCCTGGCCTGGGCCGCCAAGTAACTCTCAGCCTCAGTAACAATGCTCAGTTCTCGGTCACCGTGGGAAGGCTTTTGGGGAAAGCCTGCAAGCCTCGTGTTGAAGGGGTGGAGGAGTCTGGTTAGTCAGGGAGCAGTGTTGCCTTGATTGATAATCCCCAGGAGACTTTCTCTGTGGGGGCCCGGGGTGGGGGTGGGGAGCCTGACTCTTCTGCCAACGCATTGAGGCTTCAGAGAGTGGAAAAATCTCTTATTCTGCCAGAAGGACTTTCTCTCCCGGTCTCGGGTACTTGCGGGTAATGGCGATTTCTCCCCGGACTCAGAAGCTGCGCTGGGGTTAGTTTCAAAGCTGTCAAAAGAACAAAGTTATTCATTATCACCCAGGCTTAGTAGATAGGTTTGGGGTTGGATTCTTTCCTTTTTAAGAAACCCATCATGTTAGCTGTTATGGGCTGGATTGTTGTCCTATTTAGGCTTTATGTTAAAGTGTTGCTTTATCCTTACCATTTTTTAAAGCTAAAAATTAAGGATCAGTTTATTTAATTTGTATAGAAGCTTGTCAAAAGATGAGCAAAATATATTTCAAAGGGCATTGATGCTTAACTCTTACAGAATTCGTATTTGTTATGAAGTGGAGCATTTGAAATTACTTATATCAGAAGTATAGTGATTTCCTTGGCTAAACTATGCTTTTTAAAATTTCAGTCATTTTATGGTTCTCACAACATACATCTTTTAGGCATCATAGAGATTAGTTATTTTTTAGTATGCCTCAGGCACTTTGTACCGAATATTAGTTTCTTGTTTCTGTACACACAAGTTATCCAACTTTGCCTCTCTAGCAGTATAACAATGTAGTAATTCTTGCAAACCAATTCTTTTTATCTTTTTGAGAGGTTAGACAAAAGAAAGCTGTCCCTGGCCTTTCCCATAGACCTTTCAGTTTGCCTCATTCTATCTCCCCAACTCCCCTCCTCACATTTTAATAGCTCCAACATCACTATGGTATTTTCTTCTACTTTTAAGACCTCCTTGTTAAGCAAGTAAGTAGTGATGTTTTTGAAAATCGTTGTGTAGCATTTACATGCTTAAAGCTTTATGTTTATGTCTGCTCAAATAAGAGTAATTTTGTTGAAAGTTTATTTCCAGCTTAGGGTACTTATGTTCTGGCTTATTTTATATTGACTTAAAACGTTGTTGACATTTGCTGGTGGAAAAGAGACTTGTTATAGAGATATAAAAAGAAGTCCTTATAGAGTTTGCCATTGACAATTTTGAAAGTTGTAGCTTTCTTCCACTTATTTTCTTGAAGTGAATAAATGATTTGCCATAAACTGCAGATATTTTTTAAATAGCAAAAAAGTTTGTAAAGCACAGCTTTGAAAGATGATCATGTCAACATCAAAATCTACTGTCAGTGACATTTTTATTTTTACATGTTTAGTGTTCCTGAAGAATTTAAATGAACTTGTCTGGCAAATAAGCCATATCAGAAGTTACAGGGACATCTTAGTTAAAATAATTTCATAATGAGTCCAAACAGAATTTGAGACAAAGTGGTATGCTAATTATGGTGGTCCTTTTTTCAGGTTTGCCCCAGTTTCCAGGTCTAAGAGGGTTTTATTTTTGTTTGAAGTACACTCACAAAATAGGGCAATAATTCAAAAGCTTGCTTCTTATAATCATTGTCCTTCATTTTCATAGATAATTGTCATGAAGATGAGGCTCAAAAATGCCCATGTTATCTTGTTAGAGCCCTCCTTTTTTAACCATCTTGTTCACTTCTTCAAAGATTCTGCTGCTTTTCCCAAGGTTGTTGTCTTCTACCAAGGCCGGTCTTCTTTTCTGAAGACCCAATCTCCAAGAGATTCCATTTTTCTTCTTTCCTGGACTGCCCATAATTCAATTCTGAGTCTCTTCTCTTCCAGGTCTTGTTCTCCTCTCCTGGAAGTGCTCATCTCCCCAAGGTCCTCTTCACGTCCCTCAAAGCTAACTCTCCTTCTTCCGAGTTTGACCTTTGTCCCAGAACCTATTCTTTCCTAGGGTAGGCTCCCCCAGGAGGATGGTAATTTTATTCTCAGTGTGTTCTTCACTCTTAGGTCCAGCTTTATTCCTCCCAGTGTGTTGTATTCTCTTAATGCTTGGCTCTGCTGTCTCATGACCTAGTCCTTTTCTCAGGATTTGGTCTCAGGGGCCTCTATTCTCTGTGAAGAAAAAAATGTCTTGGGAGAAGAGCAGTTTTCTTTTATTCATAGCCAGGTCTGCTCTTGGCATCTTTTCTTCTTTTTAGAGCTTTAAGTTTTATTCTTTTATAACCTGTTTTTCTCTTTAGGGACTCTTCTCCCTATCTTGGATTTGGACTCCTTTCTCATGTTTCGGCCCTTTTTTTCTTAGTGTCCTTTATTTCTTCCTTGCTTTTTAAAAGGGTCTCCTCAATCTTAGACTTCTTTCCCAGGGCTTTGACCTTGTACCTGGTATCCTCCTCAGAACCTGTTGTTTTACTGTTAAAAGCCTGTTCATGTCTTTCAGAACCCCTGCTCTCCTCATCTGAGCTCCTGTAGCAACTACTGTCTGAAAGATTCATCTGGCAATTAATCATTTGCTGCCTTCTGCAGTCTTGCTTTTTTCTTCAACAGATCTTTAAGTCTTATTGTTCTTTGCATGTAAATGTCTCAGAACCCTAACTAGATTGTAAATTCTTTGGGGGAAGGGATTCCATGTTACATTTCCCAAATCATTTATGTGCTGTGCATGTAGTGGGCCCTTAAATATGTTTAATTTTTTCACATAATAATAACTCAGTCAATAAACATTTTTTAAGCATGTGCCTGGGAACTATGCTAAGCACTGGGGATACAAAGAAAGTCATTGGACAGGTCTCTACCCTCAAGGAGTTTACAATCTAATGGGAGAGATAACATGCAAATGACTGTGCATAAACAAGTTCTATATAGTTTAAATTGGAAATAAGAAACCAAGGATAGGCCCTGAAATTAACAGAGATCAGGAAAAACTTCCTGTGAAAGGTAGGATTTTCACAGTCCCTATATATAGTCCCTTGGGTAGTCCTGAGAAGTGTCATTATCCCTATTTTACAGATAGAAAAACTGAAGCTCATTTAAGTTAAATAGCCATGACTCCAGGTCATGGCTAATGAATGGCAGAATCAAGACTCATACT